GGGGGGGGGGGGGGGGGGGGGGGGGGGGGTGGGACCCCCTCCTGGGGTGTGATAACGCGTGATTGATATGCGGCGTAACTTTGGGGTGTGTTATCTTGTATAAACCGTTTTTCTGTTATCTTGTGTCTGGATGGATATTGTGACCCAACTCTTCCGTGTCAAACAACGCCATCACCGGATGGGTGAGCTTTCCTGGAGTGGTGTGTCGGGCGTGTGCTATCCTTGTGTGGGCACACACACTCCCCTCCCTGTTTCTTCGCCTCGCAGCAGTGTCGTGACGAAGAGAGTCTTGCACACTCGTGATTTTTTGCACTGACGGGGATGTGCTCTTCCCGCCGCCGCCGCCGCCGCCGCCGCGCGTTGCTGCCCCGCTTCCACGGCAGGCGGGAATGCATGTCTCTTGATAACTCTCCGCAACCCCTCGACGAGCGGGAAGGGGAACCGGAACAGCAGGAGCAGCAGCAGCAGCAGCAGCAGCAGCAGCAGCAGCAGCAGCAGCAGCAGCAGCAGCAGCAGGAGCAACAGCGGCAGCCGCAGCAGCCGCAGCAGCCGCAGCAGCCGCAGCAGGAGCAGCGCAGGGCGGGGGGGCGGGGTCGACGGGACTTAGAGGAGGCGTTCATGGCGCCAGGCCTGGTCAGGCACGAGTCTCTACCGAGCCTGCACCTGAACGCGCGATGTATCAAGTGCGACGCAATGGGGATTATCTACTGCAAGGTAAGAGGCAGGGCGCCGCTTTGACTGCTGCGACTATACTGCTGGTTGGTTATTTATCCAAGAACGGGACGCGGGGGACTGCCATGCCCACAGCAGTAAGGGGTCAGATATAGTTGGTAGGTGGTGGGTATAGACTTCGTACCAAGTGTAACGCACTCGAGATGGCGGGAGTACCATGTGTTGACATTCGGTGTATTGCGGAATTGGGTGTGGTAGACGTGTACGTATCGCAGCAGAAGAGGGACAGAGAGATGCGGGTTCGTCGAAGATGTAACACGCGTCATGGTGCGGTGAAGCTGCAGTTGTTGAATGGTTCTGCTGACTCCGGAGAAACGCGTCCACCCGCAACATCGCGACTATCTCCGTGTTCGCCAAAGTGCCCCGTTCTGTGTGTAACCGTTGGCTAATGCTAGCTGTAGTTTTGCTGGACTACAAGTACAACAGCAACTTTCTATCTTTCCAACAGGGCTGTAAGACAGACCAACGTTCGGAGACTCAGATTGTTGATTCCCGGAACCCGGCTAGGTGCCTTTTCGTGTCGGTTGTGGAAGAAATGTTTTCCCGCGCTTGCAATGCAGGTGGTATTACAAGCAGTGTCACGGTTCACAAACCGACCATGAAAAGCTCACGTTGCTATGTGCCATCGCTGCCAGGCACGAAAGGTAGACACAAGAGAGTGCGTGCTTCGCAGGGTTTGGCTAGATAGATATGACAAATTCCGAGATCACTGGAAGGTTCCCAAAGCGTAGTAACGCTTTACCGAAAGGAACATATCTAATGCGGAAAGTGTCGTCCAATCAAGAGGCGCGCTTGTTGACAGTCTCGGGGCAGATTCTGGAGATATGGATGAATAGATGGAGATGCGACCGACGGCGTTTGCACCGCCGCTGTTCACGGTGTGGGTATCTTGGCCGGCGCTCGGTCGGCGCCTGGACGGCGGAGTCGTGCAGAGAGGGCGGTATCAGCCGACCCGGCGAAGAGGGAGCGTCCGCGCGGGGGCGAGCCTTAGCTCGTCCGTAAATCATTGTCTCGAGTTGAGAGTGGCCGGAACCTACCCGCTGTTCTGTGTGAGGCGCTCAGATCCAGATGGACCTACAACTACGTACCTCCAATACGGAGGGAGTAAACACCGCCGCATTGGATCATTTGCCCCCCGTCATATGCCCAGACTAATTTTTCTGCCAGGTGGAGTGCGCGAGGCGAACCCCTTCCCATTTTCTGCGATCAGTTAGTCCGCTTGCTCTGAATGGTGTTTCCACCCTGTTCTGTTGCTACTCCGATGCTGCTGCTGCTGCTGCTGCTGCCGCTGCTGCTGCGATCAGGGGTGCGAAGCGCACTTTTGTGCAAGGCACGACCAGCGTCGGCATCGGTTTCTGTTGCGAAAGAACCGGCACGAGCATCAAGCGGTGCCGGATATCTCGTACTTCAGGTCAGTAGTGGCAAGAGAGAAGCATGTACGGAGAGACGAACGTGGGAGGGTAGGCGGGCAGGGGGGCGGGGGGGGCGGGGGTGAGGGAAGAAGGTGAACACAAAGTGGCGTGCGGGGCACAGGCACCGCCTGCGATTGTGTCTAAATAGGGGATGCTTATGCTCTGGATTTTGTAGATCCCCCTTGTCACTGCTACCGTCTCCTTCCTTGTCTCGTTCTCTGTCTCTTCCAATCAGTTTGTCCGTCTGTCCGTCTGTCTGTCTCTCGATCCCGATCTCAATCTCAATCCCTCTTTCTGCCTAGTGTGTTGCATCCCGGCCGCTTGGCTTGTCAGGTTCCCGACCCCCGTGCCTGCCTTCACCTTTTGCGATTATCCGTCGTTATATGCACCCTCCTCGCCCCTTTCCGTCCTTCCCCCCTTTTCCCGTTTTTCTTGCCGCGTGTCCCCCTCTCCTTGCAGAATACCACTGCCAAACGACGGCATGTTGAGTCCCCCGTTATCATCAGAAGGCTCGGACAATCAGTCGCCGATACCCCCGCCCGTCGGACGCAGAGGGGTGCGTGCTGGCGGGGGCTTGCGCCAGCGGGATGTGGAAGTAGATACCAGCGGGAGCAGCGGGAGCAGCACGAGCGGTGCGAGCGGCGCTGCCGCGGGCGGCGCCAGGGGGGCTGGCGGCAGCACCGCCGTTTTAGATAGGAGGCGAAGGGCCGGAGGGGCGGCTGCTGCTGGTGGGGGGGCGAGGTGGGCAGAAGCGCGGAGCCTACCGGGGCGCGCGAAGTCGTCCAGGTCTGCGATAGACTTGGCGAGGTCCGGCTGGTACAACAAGATCGTCATGGCAATCGTTCGGCCTCCTCGATGTAAATATTCCGTTGGGGATCTCGGCAACGAGGTCACCCCCCTCAGCAGGTAGGTGTTTTTTTTTCTCACAGTAATGATGTTTTTCGACTGTTGAGCGGACCTTTTTCTTTTTTTAGGCCAGGGCGGGGAGAGGGCGAAGTGCGAACGTGCTCAGCCGCGAAACAGCACGAGTGGGTCACTCAAAACCATGGGTGTTCGTGCGCATGTTAGTTAAGTTGTCGCTAAAAGTTTAACTCATGCCCAACCGACAACTGTAGATCTGTTTTGCGGGAGAGCTACATGTGAGGGTGTGGTTGCGGCTGCTTATTCGGGCTGGGTAGCATCGAACGCACGAACCGTCTGCCCAAATGGAGAGTGTTGTGTGAGTGGTCTGGGCGGCCCGTGCTTTGTAACAGCTCGGCCGAAGGACAAAACATTAACCGTCAGTGTCGCAGAGGGGACGCTATGACGGGGGTGTTTGTTCCGTAGGCTTACCTGTAAGGGTGGATAGGGGGATGGAAGACACCTTGTGGTGATGGACGGGAGCACTCATCTCCTTCGTCGCCGGCGTCCTTGCTCCTTTCGTAGAACCGCGAAAGCTTGACCACCCGTCTGTTTTATAGCTCTCTCTCTCTCCGGTTCCTCGCTGAAAGCGCCTCATCGCCTGTCTTTTTTTAGTTCTCTTCCATTCGATTCTGAATTTTTAAAGTCCCTTCGTTACCCTCATCGTCTGTCCCGTTGGACTCGCTCTTATTCGATTATCATTTCTTCTCTCTCTTCACCTCCCTTCCCCCGCTTGCCATTCGATTTTCATATCATTCGCTTGTCATTTTTTCCTTGTCTCTCTCCGTTTCTCGCACCCCATCATCTTCTCTTCCCTTCCCCTTCGTCCTTCCTTCCCAGCGGTCTGGCCATGAAGCGGAGAGACTTCGAGATCCGGAACCAGAGGGGTCTAAAGCTGGTGTGCAGCCAGTGGCGGCCGGCGTTCACGGAGGACACCTCCAAGCTGCCGTGTGTCGTGTACCTTCACGGGAACAGCTCGGCACGCGTCGACGTTGTCAAGACAAGTTCGTTGAGGGTAAGCGGTTGCGTGGTGGTTGTCGTTGTTGCTGCAGCGCTGGTTGACGAGGCGTTCCCCCCGGCACCCTAGATGTCATGTTGTTTGCTGCCGCACATGCTGCTGGTTTGTGAGGTGTTCCCCCCCCGGCACCCTAGATGTCATGTTGTTTGCTGCCGCACATGCTGCTGGTTTGTGAGGTGTTCCCCCCCCCGGCACCCTAGATGTCATGTTGTTTGCTGCCGCGCGTGCTGTTGCTTTGGTTAGGGGTTCCCTCAAGCACCCTGGTAGCCGGGTGGAATCACGGAGATGGAATAACTGACGGTCATTCCTGATGTGGTAGCTCCTTTTCGGAAGGCCCGTGGTCGCGGAGAAGGCGCGCTTGGGAGCATGGGAATTAACCTGGAAGACAACAGAGTAGATTGGGCGTGCGTGATTCGTCACGTCCGAAGTTGAACAGCCCAACCAACAGCATGTGCACCCAAACTGTTAACTTTTCCTTGCTCTGCAGCCGAGGCGAAGCGAATCGATTAGAAACCTCATGCACAAGCGAGCCCCCGCCCTACCGCCTCCCGCGGGTCTAAGGACAAAAGTGCGTTCGGTCTCTGTTTCGTTTTTCGATTTTCCATCCATTGCCCGCTGTCAGGTGCTGGGAACGGCCGCTTGCACGGTGGTCTCTTTCGACTTCTCCGGGTCGGGGATGTCGGAGGGGGACTTCGTGACGCTGGGTTACTTCGAGCAGCACGACGTGGCCGATGTGCTGGCATACCTTCGCAGCAACGGTGAGAGAGAGACGGCCTGGCACCGTAGGTTGCGGAAGATATCACACCCCCTGGGTCGATTTTCGACCCTCGATATTCTCGGCAGGAAAAAGCGGTGACGGTGCCGAAAATGGCGGCGTTAGAACGCTGTCGTCGACAGCTTTTCCGGAAGCATTTATACTACTTCGATTTCGGCATCCTCTTCGTCGTGGAGTAATCGAGCTTTCGAAATCGGTCCAGGGTTGTGATATACTCACAACCTTGTACAACCTGCGGTACACGGGTGTGGCGTGAGGGGAGAGTCTTTGCCTGTCGGTACCTCCCCTTGACGACGCACCAGCCGGGGCCACACAGGAGAACCCCCTCCCACTCTCCTCCTGCGGTGCCCCTTCGACCATAGTTTTTTTTTTTTTTCGTTTGGCCGGATGTAAGTAACCCTTTTTGGCATGGTAGTTATTCAGTAGTCCGAGAAAGAAGGCTCCCTTGAGACAAGGAAAATAGAACGCAATCATCCGATGATGAGATGGCGGGTGAGATGTGCTCGTTGAACCCGAAAAGTCTGGCACGAAGCGTGGCGGAGAGTAGTGGTACACCAGTGCGATCAACCCCGTGGTGCGCCTGTGCTAGTGGGCCGGGTTTTAAGCATCCGTAGATACGTAGGGCACCTGCGAGCAGGACCAGTACACAGGCCGTCGCTTCGAACGCCACGCGCGTTACCCTTGACGTTTTGCTGGTACGGCTGTGCCCCCCCCCCTTCCCTCGGTTGGCGGGCTATTTCTCGGCCGAGCCAGGGATGGCCAGCCGGTACCTCCTGTGGGGCAGAAGCATGGGGGCGGCGTCCGCCCTGCTGTACGCGGCCCGGTACCCCAACCACGACCTGTGCGGTCTCATCCTGGACAGCCCGTTCTGCAGCTTCAAGCGCCTGGCGAGAGATCTGGTTACCGCGGGGCAGGCAAGGCGTTTTTTTTTTTTTTTTTTCATCATGAAAATGCTGTTGAGCGCAACATGGGCCGTACAGCTATGAAGACCGATAGATGGGCTGCTGTCCTTCGGTTGCACCATCCCTCTGCTGTTGTGGCACTCGTAAAGGTTTTGTCTTGCCTTGCGCGAGCTCGTTTATTTTTTAGCACAAGAGGCTCAGTTTGCGGTGTGAGTTCCTCGCAGACTCGTCACACTGGTTCCACCGCATGTACACCGCATGTATGCACTGCCGGCGACCCCGCTGATGCCCCGCCCCCTGGGCCGGCGAAAACCCGGCGTACGCCTCCTTCCCGGCACTGCAAGGGTGCGAGTTCAATGTTCTAACGACAACGGCATGCACGACCATAAGTACCCCCCCCCTTTTTCTTTTCTTTTTTTCCTACAGGTGAATGTGCCTGGCTTTCTCGTCAATGGCGCGCTCGGGATGCTGCGGCACAGCGTAAAGAAGCGGACGCGGTGCGACCTCAAGACCGTGGCGCCGATCACCCGGGCGAGACATATCCGGTGCCCCTGCCTCTTCATCGCTGGTAGGAAGGACGTGATGGTCAGGCCCAGCCACGGTGAGGATCTGTCCGAGGCCGTTGGCGGGGCGAGCCTGTTCATCACGTGCAAGGGGTCGCACAACACTGCACGGCCTGGGTGAGAGTTGGTTCTGATCTTGTCGTTTGGTTTAGGTTTCGCTTGCATGCTTTTTTTGTGAGCGAGAAGAGGAGACGGCATATATGCGTTTGCCACCGATATGTTGCTTGTTTCGAAGGCGACTCAATACGAAATACAACTAATGGTCTCATTCACAGATCGGAACACTAGCAATCAATCTGTTTGGTGCGACTGAAATGCGTCGATCGTACTCCTTCCGACATCCACCGTCACCCCGCATCTCTCTCTCTCTCTCTCTCGTGTTTTCGTCGGCTTCCCCGCTACCCCACCCCAGCGTCGTACTCCAGGCGGTCGGCACCTTCGTCAAGGGGTGCTTCCAGGCCCCGGGGACTCCCATCTCGCAGGCGTTCTCCACGATACAGACCACGCTGCAGGAAGCACAGGCCACCGCGGCGGCTCTCAGGGCCCGCCGGGGCTCCACCTCCTCGGCCTCCTCTTCCGTCACCACCGGCGGCGGCGGCGGCGGCGGCAGCAGCAGCAGGGGTAGGGTTAGTACCACAAGCGCCCGCCAACGCGCGCGAGCAACGTCGGTCTCCTCCGATCTCGTCGTCGGGGCTAGCGACCGGGGGTCCCGGGTTGTCACCGCCGGTGACGGTAGGGGTAGGGGTAAGGGTTGGGATAGCGGCGCGGGCTCGAGGCCGGGCCCCGCACGCCCGCTGGCTAGGCCGGGCCCGCGGCGAGCGGCGGAGATGGAGAGGGCGAGAAGAATCACTTCGGCCGCTGCAAGCGCTCGGTGTGTGTGGGCAAGAAAAAGTCGCATTTTTTTTTCTTGTATTTTGCAAGTCTGATGATAACTTTTGGCTTGTGTGTCTTTTATTGTTTGCATCGATCGTGCTAACCGGCTCACCAATAAAAAAACGTTAGTTTGCAGGATAGTGTGTGTGTGTGTGTGTTTGTGTTCGTTGCGTCGTAGTGTAGCTTTTCACGTTGGTCCCGATGGCCCTTCTCGTCTTTCGGAAAACAATCCGACGTTACAGGACACACGTCCTTGGAATGAAGGCGACGGTCAGGAGTTGTTGGCTGCTCGAGGGGTGACCCAGACTTGCATGCCAACGGCTTCTCGGCTACCATAGACAATCTCTCGCTGTAGTGTTTGTTTCCGTGCTATCAGGTTTCCGCGTTTTTTCGTACTCACCCCACCATTCCGTTTGTTGCCGGAATGCCTCATAGGTCGTCGTGCAACGGCGCCTTTTTTCAAGCGACCTGTCGTGCGCACAGGACCATGTGACCCCATGATCTAACCCACCAGCCCCGCTCCCCCCCCCCCCCCCC